GAACTTTAAGTAATATTATTTAATATATAAAAAAACAAATGATCTTTTTGATATTTTAACTATTATTATTTAATATAAAAAATAAATGCATTAAAATTATAAATTTTATAATATATTTTAATAACATAATTAATTGTTAAATCTTTAACATAAAAATCTCTTGGAACTAAATGTAGTTTTATTTTGCCTCTAACGTGTACCCCAATTGAGGGATGAGTTGACGTTTAGTCAAAAACTGTTCGTCTCCGGTTCAAGTCTAGATGCTCTCATGTGCCTTGCTTTCCTGTTAGTCCTAGAGCATCTGCAGTGGAGGTTCATTTTTTGCTGGCACATCGTTTCCAACTCATTAAATTAAAAACTCATATAAAATCCAAAATGATAGTCCTTATGGTAGTGTTTGGTACGCAGACTGGATAGGACAGGACGGGACGAGACATGACTAATTGTCTGTCCTATGTTTGGTACGACTAAGACAGGACAAGACAAAACTATTAAAATGACCATATTACCCCTAAATGTTGTTCAATGTTATTTTATATCATATAATGCTTGTAAAATGACAACCGATCAATCAAAATTATTGTCATTTTAACTTTAGTCTCATGTTGTTCCACCTTTTTTGGTGAAACAAGAAATATCAAGATTTGTCCCACTAAGATTAAAAATAGTCCCACATTATGAATGTTTTTTTTGTCCATAAGAACTTTTTTGTGGGTCTTATGTACTTTTTAACGTCAATAATTATTATATATTAATAAATAAATATCAAATATTTAATATAAATTCAAGAAAATATAAAAAAAGAACTAGTAAATTGTCACCGTACACCGACTTTAAGATAAAAAAAAAAGGTTCCTATATAAAATAAATTTCCAATGTTGGTTTCTGTAAAGAAACTACACTTTTTGCTACCTTGTATTAGAGATGCTCATATTGCTCGCATATACTAAATTCTTTGGATGTCGGGTGTCGTGTGGGAGCGGTTGAAGATGTCGATACTCAAATCTTTTTTTAAAAATTTGTAATTTTTATTTTAATAATTTTAATTTTTAGTTTTTCATTTAAACGAAATTAAATATTATCATATGCTTTAAATAATTTATAAAATACTAGAAGGGTACTCATGCAATGCAACGAGATACATCTTGATTTTTAATATTTTATTTTTTTCTTTATCTCAGTCGATATTATAACGTGGTCTTATGTTATTTTGAAAAACCGATGATATTCTTATTTTTTAATAAAATATAAACTTGAAGAATCATAAAAATTTGACAAAAATACATCGATATTAGTATAAATTAACTATTTAAAATCCTTATTTTTTGTGTAATTTTTTAATTCAACTCTTTTATTATAATTTAATTTAAGTTTAATAACGAAGTAATTTTATATTTGGTTTAATAATATAATTTTCTTATAAAGATAATAATTAATTATTTTGTTAGAACTCGATGATTATCCTAATTATATTTTAAATTTTTTATACTTTAAAATGAGATGTTTATCATCTATTTGATTATGTTTATCCGCAGTTAGTTACACGAATTCAAACATGAAAATGTGATAAGTTGTACTTATGCATAATTTACTTGTAATATTGAATTTTAAGTAATATACATCAATATATAATTCTTCATACATAAAAAAATTTTAAAATTTTTTATCAAAATTTTATAATATAGTATAGATAATGGAAGGATGATTGTTTTGATGCGAGTTTTAAGATGGAGTTTTCCTCGAAAGACGTGTGAGCAAAAGAAAAAGAAAAGAGAAAAAAGCTCGGTGATTGTTGTCTCCTAGTCAT